AGAGCACCAAGTGATTAGGCTATTGTGATAACAGACAGTGAAAACTTCTGTTTGTGCTTCTGTTAAGGAGGCGTATGATTCGCAACTTACGATAGGGTTATATCCAGATAAATCTGTTAAAAGTTGAAAATACGGTAATATGAACCATCGTAAATTGGATGCTGTATATCTTACATTTCAACAGTAGTTTGCAAATCTATAATGAAAATTCTATAGATATTGAAAATATCTATAATACCATTCAAAGTACAGTAATATGAACCATCATAAATTGGATGCTGTATTTCTTACATTTTAACAGTAGTTGGCAAATCTATAATGTGGTTACTTTATATCGTAGCTGCATACCTAGAAGGTGGATGTTTAGACAATGTTAATGATATGAAGGATGAAACTAAGACTCAGAGGTTAGCAGGGTGCAAGTGGGGGCGGGGAGTACTTAGGATACCACAGTTGTGTATTTTAATTTTGATTCTCCCTTTTCTGCTGAATTGCAGCTTCAGGTAATTTGTTTTTCTTTTTTTCAAAAAGAGGATTTCTAGGTTATATTTTCTGAGAATGACTCCCTATTGCTATTTAAATACATTAGGAAACCACTTCCCTCCCAGCTCTGATGACATTTTGTTACTGTCTTCTGGAATGTGGTATTACAGATAAATGTGGAGCTAACCTGATCTTGCTTCCTTTGAAGGTAACTTCTCTTCATTTTTGTTCTGCCTATATTCTCATAGTTTTTTTTTTTTTTTTTTTTTTAAGAGACAGAGCCTGACTTTGTCACTCTTGGTAGAGTGCCGTGGCATCACAGCTTACAGCAACCTCCAGCTCTTGGGCTTAGGTGATTCTCTTGCCTCAGCCTCCCGAGTAGCCGGAATGGGACTACACGCTCCTGCTGCAACGCCTGGCTATTTTCTTGTTGCAGTTTGGCCGGGGCCAGGTTTGAACCCACCACCCTCGGTATATGGGGCTGGCGCCCTACTCACTGAGCCACAGGTGCTGCCCACTCATACTTTGTTTTTTAATTCTTATAGTTCAAAAAATTTGCCGAGTGCACCTAGCTTTGTCTCTGTTGATTTTGTATGGAACATAGTAAACTAGAAAATATTTATTCTGTTCAAAAACAAATTCTTCAGTTATACATTGGATGTTTGTTCCTGTTCTTCTGATTTTTGTCTTTTTGAAAATAGAAATTGAATTTTGTCTTTCTTGGTTTTTATTGTTTTTCCTAATGATTTTATCTTTGCTCTTTTCCTTCACTTTCTTACAGCACTTTTCATGTCTGCCCTTAACATTAATGCTGTGTTGGAATCACCAATTCTTTACTAATTCCATACAGATTTTATTTCTGCTATTACATTTTAAAATTTCATTATAATCCCTCCTCATCTCACCCATTGTTACCTCAGTGTGTCTCCCTGTGGCTCTCTGTTTCTGTTTCTTAGGAAATATTACACATTTTCTTTTACGCATGCCAAGTACTATTCATGCTTCTGCTGATGTCTTTAAGGAGTTATAATATTTTCAGAAGACTGTAGTTTTTTTTTAAGCTTTGGGGTAACCTTCCCCTTTCTTTCTCAAATAATCGTCTATTTTTCTAAGTCTTATTTTTTCTCTTTTGTTTGATTAACCCTCGATTTGTTCAGAATCAGTTTGTCAGCAAACACAGGGTCCAATTGCCCTTGACCCTGCTTGGTTCACTTGGGTGCTACAGAGGTTTTTTTTATATCTCCAGTGGTGGAAGTGAGTTTTCAATAATTAACAGAGCCTCTAGTGTGCACATATTTGTTTTAAAAAATGACCATCTAGTGACACCCCTGCGGGACAGGGACGGGGTCTGGCCTGGCTTCTGTTCATTGTCTTCTCCTTTCACTGTCTGGTCAGAGAGATGATAAGGAAGCCTGGTTCTCAGGACGTGTCGCTTGCATGAGTTTTCTTATTGTTTTATGAAGTCTTATTTATGAGGATGATCCCTCCCTTATAACTGTGTGTCTTCACCAGAACCACCCTCCTCTCTTCTCTGTACCACACACACATTTTCTAGGGGTTACAGTTTCCTTCTGAATGTGGAAGTACAGAAGGCGAGGAGGCCGTGGGGACTAGCACCGCAGCAGCCACTAGACAGTCGACCCATGCCGGGTGGGGACTGCTGTCCCATTGAGGTAGACCCGTGCGGGGTGGGGACTGCTGTCCCATTGAGGTAGAC